AGTGGCAAATACCACTCCATTGTGACTGGCTGAGAGGGCTCTGTGCATCCTTGGCATAGAGTGTCTCGGGAGAGAGTATTTTAAGGACCCAAAAAGGTACTGGGGGGCTTTTGGTATAGCTGCCTTGGAGATGGAGGAAATTAAAACAGCTGTCTACCTTGCCCGGTCTCTTGGAGGACCCCTGTGTTGTGGAGTTGCTGAGGGCCAAAGAACAACAGGTACCGATTGCCACCACAACAGTGCACTGGTGGCAATATCGCACAAACCAAGACTCCCTGATTGCCATCCATAAGCTGATTTGTCGACTGGAGAGCCAAGGAGTGAGGAGCAAGACTTGCTCACTCTTTAACAGTCCCATATGGCCAGTGCAAAAGTCTAATGACAGTGGAGACTAGCGGTAGACTACAGTGGCCGGAACGAAGTCACATCGCTGCTGAGTGCTGCCATGCCAGACATGTTAGAACTTGAATACGAACTGGAGTCAAAGGCAGCCAAGTGGTCTGCCACAATTGATAGTGCTAGTGTGTTTTTCTCAATCCTTTTGGTAGTGAGTGCAGACCACAGTTTGCTTTCACTTGGAGGTGCATCCAGTACACCTGGAACTGACTGCCTCAGGAGTGGAAACACAGCCCTACCATTTGCCATGGACTGATCCAGACTGCACTGGAACAGGGTGAAGCTCCAGAACACCCGCAGTACATTAATGACATCATTGTACGGGGCAATGCAGCAGAAGAGGTTTTTGAGAAAGGGAAGAAAATAGTCCAAATCCTTCTGAAGGCTGGTTTTTCCATAAAATAAAGTAAGGTCAAAGGACATGCACAGGAGATCCAGTTTTTAGGAATAAAATGGCAAGATGGACATTGTCAGATCCCAATGGATGTGATCAATGCAATAACAGCTATGTCCCCAACAACTAGCAAAAAGGAAACACAAGCACTCTTGGGTGCTGTGGGGTTTTGGAGAACGTATATTCCAAATTACAGTCTGATTGTAAGCCCTCTCTATGAAGTGACCTGGAAGAAGAACGATTTCAAGTGGGGCCCTCAGCAATGACAAGCCTTTGAACAAATTAAAAGGGAGATAGTTCATGCAGTAGCCCTTGGGCCAGTCTGGGCAGGACAAGATGTAAAAAATGTGCTCTACACTGCAGCCGGGGAGAATGGCACTGCAGCCGGGGAGAATGGCCCTACCTGGGGCCTCTGGCAGAAAGCACCAGGGGAGACTCAAGGTTAACCCCTAGGGTTTTGGAGTTGGGGATACAGAGGATCCAAGGCCCACTATGCTCCAACTGAAAAAGAGATATTGGCAGCATATGAAGGGATTCAAGCTGCTTCGGAAGTGATTGGTACTGAAGCACAGCTCCTGCTGGCCACCCCAACTGCAAGTGCTGGGCTGGATGTTCAAAGGGAGGGTCCCCTCTACACATCATGCAACTGATGCTACGTGGAGTAAGTGGGTTTGCTGATCATGTAACAGGCTTGAATAGGAAACCCAGTAACCCATGAATCTTGGAAGTGATCATGGATTGGCCAGAAGGCAAAGATTTTGGAGTATCACCAGAGGAGGTGGTGACATGTGCTGAAAAGGCCTCACTGTATAATAAACTACCAGAAAATGAGAAGCAATATGCCCTGTTCACTGATGGGTCCTGTTGCCGTGTGGGAAAGCATCGGAGGTGGAAGGCTGCTGTATGGAGTCCTATAGGACAAGTTGCAGAAACTGCTGAAGGAGAAGGTGAATTGAGTCAATTTGCAGAGGTGAAAGCCATCCAGTGGCTTCAGGTATCACTGAATGAGAAAAATGGCTGGTACTTTATACTGACTCATGGATGGTGGCAAATGCCTTGTGGAGATGGTCACAGCAATGGAAGCAGAGCAACTGGCAGCGCAGAGGCAAACCCATCTGGGCTGCTGCATTGTGGCAAGATACTGCTGCTCGGGTAGAGAACCTAATTGTAAAAGTACATCATGCAGATGCTCACGTACCCAAGAGTCAGGCCACTGAAGAACAACAAAATATCCAGCAGGTGGATCAGGCTGCTAAGATGGAAGTGGCTCAGGTGGATCTGGACTGGCAATGTAAGGGTGAATTATTATAGCTCAGTGGGCCCATGACACCTCAGGCTATCAAGGAAGAGATGCAACATATAGATGGGCTTGTGATCAAGAGGTGGACTTGACCATGGATACTATTGCACAGGTTATCCATGAATGTGAAACATGCGCTGCAACCAAACAGGTCAAGCGATTAAAGCCTCTCTGGTATGGACGGTGATGGTTGTAATATAAATATGGGGAGGCCTGTCAGGCTGATTATATCACCCACAAACCCACCAAGGCAAGTGCCATGTGCTTACAATGGTGGAAGCAGCCACTGGATATCTGGAAACATATCCTGTGCCCCTGCCCGGAACACTCTCCTGGGCCTTGAAAAGCAAGTCTTATGGCAACATGGTACCCCAGAAAGAATTCAGTCAGACAACAGGACTCACTTCTGAAACAACCTTATAGACACCTGGGCCAAAGAGTACAGCATCGAGTGGGTGTATCGCATCCCCTATCATGCACCAGTCTCCAGGAAAATCAAACAGTACAATGGACTGTTAAAGACTACCCTGAGAGCAATGGGTGGTGGGACATTTAAATATTGGGACACACATTTCTGTTGTCTAAGTTTAGTAGTTTGTGGTATGTATTCTGAGAAATTGATGGTTGGTTTTCTAGTGTTAAAATTGGATTTAGTAGATTTCTTAAATAGTCTCTAGAAGCAGAATTTGTTCCAAATGGGAGACCTGGCCAGGTGCATGTCACTGCAGTTGGTAAACTCTGACCTTTGAGGCAATCGGAACTGCAATTACTGCATTACAGCAATACACTCTGACTTTACAGCTCCTGTAATGATGCAGGGTCTGTGCTATCAGATCCAACAGACTGTTTCCAGATCCTGGTGAATCAAAAAAAACAAGCAGTGAAAGTCACTCCTGAGACTTGGGTTAGGTTTTGTCAGGAGTTTCCTTTCGTCTGAGTGGATGCAATTGATTCACAATGTGGTAATAGGCAATGGAAACTTCCAAATGATGCCAAACAGGTCTATGCCTAGTAAAAATCTGGGACAACAAATATCGATCATAATCAGTGATTTATCTGAGACAGAATTCTTACAATGTAGTTTTTACAAATTACCATATTTTTAATGCACTCTCCCAAATTCCTTTGTTACATCCATAGTTTATATTGTCAAACAGTAAGGCCTGTGGTGCCAACAGATGTTACTTAAATGAAATGTTTAGGTATGCCAATGAATATATGTATCTTGTAATATAAAATTCTATATTTGCAATCATACTGAGTTCATGTATTAGTATATAATCTCTGTAAATACACTCTGCATATTGCGTAACAACTTAGATCTTTAAATTGATACAGTGTTGGAGTTTGTGACAGTCATCCTGTCTTGCTTGTTTCCCATCTCCAGCTCTGATTAGTACCAGACCAACAGATATTTAGGCTGCTTAGGAGAGAAGGACCCCCTGTATTAGGATTCTGAAAATATTCTGAAAGTTAAATCTTCAGTTTCTATTACTCTGGTTTGTAAAAATCCAGTACTAATATTGTGTCTGTATTAGCGGCTTATATTGGCACTACATGGTCATCATTTAACAAGCACCATGTAAACGGCTTTAAAATAATCAGGTTCTGTTTTCCTTTTCTGAAAAAAATTATTTAGGGCAGAGAAGTCTTTTCTGTCCCTGTCAGCTTTTAGTTACCAGAGTGGATTTGAAAAATACAGAAAGGTAGCTTATTGGTCTGTTATGTGAGTAACTTTGTCTAGGCCTATGCTTTCTCACAACGCATTAATTCAGTTTTACACCTTTATATATGTTAAGCTTAGAAGTGTCTGCTGGAAATAAGAAAAGCCACACATGAATACCTGATTTCATGAATAATATCTGGGATGTCTGACTTGTTGACAGCCTTGTGAGATGAATTTTGAGTTGTCATATAAACAGTGGGGATGTTACCAGCTGATAGCACAGAAAGGAAGATAGTACTTCTCAAGTACTTAATGTTATTTCCAAATGAACTGCTGCTTACAGTCCTTGTATCAGTGTACTCTACCTGATTAAATAAACTGAATCTACTGATCATTTTGGGTTTGGTATTTTTTTTTCACCTGTTCATTAAAAATCGCTGCTGGTATCTTTCTGACAAAAAGTCAATACATTATTCACTCATCTTGCGGGGGTAAAAATGGAATGCAGAAGCCCTGCTGTGAAGGTGGTCCTTGGTACATTAACTACCTTTCTGCTTTCCTATATGAAAAGCACTGGTGCTTAAAGTGCCTGTAGAGTGTATCACTGGACACTGGTATTTTGTTCACTGCTTGTATCCCTTAATATGCAAGGAGGTCAGTGGATGCTTGAATATAGAGTGTATGTAGAGTTGCCTGTGACTTTAGATGTGAGTTTTGAGTGTTACTTTCTTTATCTGCCTCTAAATTTGAAGTATGTCTGAAGTTGTTCAGTTGTTTTGGGTAAGATAAGGTTATTGGCTTATTTTTCCAGACTATTAGCCTTGTTTTTTCTGTGGTACCAAAAACTTACATTTAAGAATCTATAGCAAGTCCTTTTTGTAACTTGATGTGTAGCTTTTAGGTGTTTTGTTTACAAAAATAGGTAGATATTTATGGCAGTTTACACAAAGTAGGCTGAGACTTTGAGACTTGGGAAGTGCGACCAAGCAATATGTAATGCAGATGTGGAGAGATTATAGTAGAGGATCCAGTCTCACTTCTGTTTTGCTTCTGGTTATGTTTAGAGAGCTCAGACTGATGGTATGTTATGCCGTCAGTTGGAATTGTATGTTCAAGCTGAGGAGTATAAATAATAAGTGATTCAATAAAAGCAAAAGGATCTTAAATTCTACAAAGTGAACAGTAAAATACTGAAACTGTTCTGAATAGGTTTAACTTAACATCTGCTGTTTGAATAGGTACCAGACATGGCGGGCTACCCTCACATCCGTTACATTTCATCGGGATTGGATGGAACATCATTCAGAGGCCCTTTCAGGGGCAATTTTGAGGTTTGTAATAGAATAAAACTAGATATATGTCAAAATGTGTCATGAGGGAATATGGGGAGGGTTTATGGTAGAGCTAGTTCTATTTATGTAAAAGAATCATAAAGAAAATACCCTTTATTTAGAGAATGCCCTCACTATCGTGAACTAGGATAAAACCATATTGAAAAGTCAGTCAATAAAAGGTGCCCTGGAGAATGTAGGCTTAGGTGGTTATTAACTGACAATTCATCTTGCTCTGCCCACCACCCCGGTTAGTAGGATGTAGTATTCACATGATATGTTGGTAAAAGGTAGTGGTGTCTCTGAATAACTGTGCCAGGATCCTCTCAGTGAGGGTGAAACTTGGCAACTTTAACAGTGCTGTCCTGTTTGTTATGTAGTGCAGGAATTGAAACTGAGGGAAGGTGGGGGGGGAAGAGAAAATAAAAGGTATCAGATGCAGAGAGTTAATGACCTAGTCCACCGAAAACATCTTTAGTGACATCTCATGGTTCTAATAAACTTACTGCTGGAGAAAAATAAATCAGTCGTATTTCAACTTAAGCAACTTATTTTTTTTTCTTCTAAGCCTTAATGACTATTAGAAAGCAAATATTTACTCAAATATTTATGCATTTTAATTGCATTTTCCTCAGTAGACACACAAGTATGTGTAAACATACTTATAACCATTCCTAGCTGACAAACAATTTCTAATTTTTTTAGTAGTAAACCAGTGTTTCCCTATAACTTAAAATACCAGGCAGTGTTGTGTGGGTTTTTCTACAGAAACCCATCACTTTTCCCACACAAAATACTCTTTTGCTTTGCCTGTATTTGAGCAAGTTGGGAATTGAGTTTGTCATTCTGCACATGGGTTAGAATAAAATTAATATTTACTCAAGGTAGTTGAAATAACAGTTCTTACACTGCTTATTCATTGATAATTTTTAGGAGCTGATTCACTTGGAGGAACGATTAGGCAATGTTAATCGTGGAGCAACACAGGGAACTATAGAAAGATGCACATATCCACACAAATACAAAAAGGTGAGGATTTCTCAAACTGTGGCCCGTCTTTAATGTTTCTTTGAAAATGTAATAACATTTATGTTTAGCTTAGATCTGCAGAAATGTCAGCTTCAAAGAGTACATGTTTTTTGTATCTTGTAATTTCAAGGACTGTAAGCAAAGCTTACAAGCAAAGCTTACAATGCCACTTCTTTCCCAAAGAAAATTAAAAATTTGGTCCCTAGATAAAGAGCTACCGTAATGTGATAAAGTGGTTTGATATGATTTAATAACTTGTCCAGCAGTTGTGAATAGCCTTGTGCACAATGAAATAACTATTGGTAATAGCTAAATTGTCAACAGACTTCAGTGATAATTCATCGAATAAAGTAAGACTTTATTTTTGTAATAAATTGTTCATGATGCTTGCCTGCTTGGTATGTATCATTTTAACCTTTACTCTGATAACATTAGGAAGACTAGGACACTAGGAAGTTTTGAATCTGGTACAGAATTTTGGCAACTTGTCTCTCAATTGAAGTTTATTATAATACAGAATCCTGTCCAAATTTACATAGTGTTCTTCCAGATTTGATAAATAGTGACTTAAGATACTAGGTTTGAAAGGAGATTTTTTATTTTTTATTTATTATTTATTTTTGAAGTATCTTCATGAATGAAATGAAGATATTTATACATAGACAACAAGTAAAAGGACTGGTTGCAACAATATGAAATTAATATATTCACAGTCCAGTAGACTTTTGTAATGAACAATAGTTAAATCTGAAATGTCCTGTGATTTTGCTCCAAGTGCTAGTTCTTCATTCATTTTGGTTCATACATTTGAATAAATATTATGAAATTTTTTCAAAGAATTGTGTTGAATATGTATTAAAAACAGATTTTATTCAGTTTGTCAATAATGTCATCTCTACTAATAAGGTAACAACTGATTGGTTCTCACAGAGGAAACTGCACTGCAAACAAGATGGGGAGGAAGGAACAGAAGAAGACACAGAGGAAAAGTGTACCATCTGTTTGTCTATATTGGAGGAAGGTGAAGATGTCAGGTAAATAGTACCACTGAATATCAGAATATAACATTAATGTTCTGGCTTTGAGACCATAATTGAATATGGTACACTACTCTTTGCAGTACTCCCTAGGTTAACAGTTATAGTTAAAGACTATCTGTCATTGAACCAATAAGTAAAACAAGTTGCAATTGAAAACACCCATTGTTCAGTCTGTATTGTCTTTGGGTAGAATGCAGGTTATTTTCTTATGGTCTTCCATAAGTTGACTGACTGTTTTATAACATGAGCCCAAGCTGATACCCTGAATTAATCAGGACTGTCAATTTTACTTTTTCTAGTAATGCTACTTAAGCTATAACATGTTTAAATCGGTGTAATACAGCAGAAGCTAGCTGATGCTTGACTTCATTGCCCATATCCATTTCTTCTTGGAACTAGACAAAATGCAGGTTCAACTGGAAAGGCTAGTGAAACTTGTGGAAAAACATGCACATGCAAAAAGAATAGACACCTCAATAGCAAAATCCACATTGCCGTTTTTCCAGTGGGTATGTTTATGTGGGAATGCTTTATTAACACTAATGTTTTTCTGTTCTGATGACAGGCGCCTTCCCTGTATGCACCTTTTCCACCAAGTATGTGTAGATCAGTGGTTGATTACTAACAAGAAGTGCCCCATTTGCAGAGTGGACATTGAGGCTCAACTGCCTAGTGAAAGTTGACATCGCTTTCCAGAACTCTTGTCCTCCCTCTCGCTCCCTCTCATCTTTCCTGGTACTGCAGTCAACCAAAGATGGCATGACTTACCTGCGCAGATTTGGAAGCATTGAACCTAGAGTGCTGGCTCTGCTATATGGTACAACTAATGCTAGACCTACAGTTTATGTAGAAGACAGTTGAGTTTCAGTGTATTTATAAAACTATTTTTTAGGTTTTACATTTTTTCTTTTAATTCATTACTGTATTTTTGCATGGTTCCTTGTATTGCATTTGTTTGCACATATTATGGGCTTTGTGACCCCAAACTTGCAGGCAAGATTAGCTGCTTTAGTAAGTAGAATTGTGTGGTCTCTTTTTTTGGTTTGTTTTACATAGTATCGAGCTTTGAAAGTATGATTTCACTCATTACTAACCTCGGATTCCTTAATTTAATCGTTCATATATTTTAGTTTAAATGTATAAAGATCATCTAGAAAAGGATAATATTATGTATTGAGACATTCCTTAATTAGGAAAAAATGGCTGCTGTATATTTACAATATCAGTTCTGAGTCAAATAACATCCTTAATACTGGGAACAGAATATGAACTATATTCAGTTTGACTGATACATATAGCATACTCGTCACCAGAGTTTTTGTCTGATCAGATTTTTGTGTTCATTTTTAAAATTTCAGCACAATGCAGATATATTTGAATGTCAATATTAAACATTTAGACTGCTGTTCAGATTGTATTTATCATTTTCTTCCTATATCTAGAAATTTGAATCCCTAACTTAAATATTTGCTGCTGTGAAACAGCTCTAGTGAACACTAAATGTTGATTTCAGTTAGCTGGATTGTAGATACTTGCAGGTTGAAAGAATTATTAGGGAAATGGAAAAAGAGCTTAGAATATCTTTGGTCTTCTGCTAACTTAAGTTGAAGTATCTGCGCACATTGAGGGGTTTTTTGTTTTTTTAATATAAAACCATTCAGTAAGGACTTAGAGCTGCAGGATCTTTGGTTTTTGGTGGGGTTTTGTTGTGTCTTGGGGTTTGTTTTATTTTGTTTTCTGAGGGGTTTTTTTGGCAGATATACATGCATTCACAGAACTTCTAAGTATTCCAGGCTTGTCTTGGGGTTTTTATTAGTTTTAAAGTTAATAAAGTTAGCTAAATCCACTTGTCTCTTGTTTTATTTTTCATTAGTAAATTGAAAGCCTGTAAATTTCTGTAGAAACTAAGACACAAATTATGTGGTTACCTAGTTTTTGCCTTGATCATAGATACCCTCTTTATAAATTACCAACAGTCCATCACTGATTGAAATATTTTCTATAGTTAAGATTTGCTGCGTAATATAGTATATAGAATTAAGTTATAATGTACTAACATTTCGCCTTTGGAGGTTTTAATCCACATCAGGATTCAAGTTGCTCATCAACATTCTTTCACATATAATAGATTATAGTTTATTTAAATGTGCTCAACATTGCAAAATGCAAATGTGCAAAAACATTGAGACAGTATTACTGTCACTTTGGGAAAGATGTTCCTCGGGGATCGTATATGAACATGTCAACACGCTTGCATTAAGCCACCTGCTTTGTAAGTGGATTGAATAATAAATACCTTCAGTTTCTCTTGTCTTTGTCTTTCATAATCAGATTAAGTGTAAAATGGTTTACAGTAAACCTAGAAGATGAACTGTTATGTTTACACTAAAAAAGTGATCCATTTATAAATATTACCTTATCTAATTTGATGCCTGTTTTTGTCTGGTTAAAGCTGCTTCCCTTTTATTTTTTTTTTTTTTAATCTGTTAGGAGTAGCATTTGCCAGTGCAGTGTGTATTGCTGGCAACAAACTTAACACCTCTGGCACTGAGGCTTTAAGTGGAGAGAAATTTTATTCCAGCATGTGTGATAAATGGACATTTTCAAGCTTAATTGCATTGCTAAAACTGAACTTAAAACCACTTTGTGCTTGTACGATGGGGGATATGGGAGAGAGGCAACACACAGTTTGACTGCTTCAAAACTTGACATGTTTTTTATGCTAAACCTTCTTGAATATTATGGCTGTAGGAGACTGAAAGTGAGTATGAAGTTGAAGCTGCGTTGGTAAAAATTAATAAAAGCAACTGGAAGGACCGAACAGACACTTTCTGTTCTTCAGTGACTGTTGAAAAGGAGGGATGTTAGTTGACCACTGATGCTTGAAGTCTGATGATACTCACTTTTAAAAGTTTCCAAGAAGGTATTTGAGAGATGTGGGACAAAAAAAAAACCAGGCCTCTGAAATAATTGAGACCCTGGGTATGTGATAGAATCTATTTTGGCTTCCTTACAGGGCAAAGAAGCACAGGTCTGGGGGATTATTTTTTTTTTAATTAGGAAATATTTTATGCACCTGATTTGGGTGCCTGGTACTTAGAGGTATTTTAGTGGTCCATGAATTGACTTGTTTTATAACTGCTGCTGATACTGTCTTGCTTTTACGTGTATGCATAACATTGTAATGTGATGTTGAACACTTAGGTATTTGCCAAGAATCACAGTATTCTGATCTTACATGCTATTGCAGGGGCTAATAAAGCTGCAGCCTACTTCTATTCCAGAAAGTTGTGACTTAACCATAATTTAAAGGAAGGAAAAAGAATAGGTGTTTGATTTTGAAATCTCCACCACTTACTGTGCTTTATATGCTTAGATGCATTGCCTTAAGTTTTCTGCAGCATCTTTGAAGATAAGATTCTCAACAGTATGCATCAAATTACTTTTCATATTAAAATTCCATTGTCGAAAGAAATCCTTTTGTATGCAATAAATAAAATGTTAGACTGGTATCATTCAAAATCTGTTTCTTATGCAAGTTTTTGGTTTTTTTTTTCTTTTGCCTTGTTGCCTTTGTAAGTCTTGATCTGTAACAATTCTTTTGCATGCATGTATTCTTACAGGTACTGCCTAAGAAAAAATTCTCTTAGTGAAGGATCAACCTTTAGCCACAGTTAAATATGTTGATAAACAGAACCATCTAGAACTTAGGAATTCAGGAAAACTGCCCTGACGAAGGATAGCAAAGTAGTAACTTGTGCATAGGGGAGTAAAGATATAATGCCAGTTTTGGGAGATTGCAGAACAGCTGTAATTAGACTTTTCTGTCAGTTTAGGCAGCTACTGTAGAGTTGAAGTTCCTGAATCCCAGGACTAGTTTATTAAACTGACTGCTACTACCTTGTTAATAGCTGACTAACATGCCTTCCTAAAGTCGTATGTGAAATTTAAAATAAAAGCTGTAACACACATCTGTTTGGACTAGTTTCCCACAGTGCAGAGTACTAAGTTGCACGTTTGAATGAGGCAAGCTACCGCCGCAGGTACTCTGGTTCTGTAGCGCTGAGGTTTGGTTCACCGAGCCCAGAAGCTCCTGAAGGCGGCTGTGCTTCCACCCAGCTGCCATCACTTAGACTGGGTGAGAAGCGCGGGTGCCAGCTGGGCCTGGGCTCGGCTCGGTTCGGCTCGGCTTTCCCCGCGGTGCCTCGTTTGCCTCCATCTTGCCTCTCGACAGCGGGCCGTTGCAGCACGGCTTTTCACTACGCAAACTCTCCCCATCAAGTGTTTTTTCGCGATAGACGGCACAGCTGTGTGTACTGCTCAAGGTAAAATCGCCTGTTTTTCGACCTTGGGTTCGTCTAAACATGAGGTGAAGCAGCTGCAGCGCGCCCTCCCCCTCTGCCCTCGAGCGCATGCGCCGCCCCCCTCCCAGGGCCAGGCTTGCCGGAAGTTGTTCAAACGATTTCCTGTTTGGGAGGGGCCCGAGAAAATGGACCAATCGGGCACGTGCATCGTACGAAGCTGCCCAATAGGAGAGCGGGAGGGAGTTTAAGTGGAGCCGCGGCGGCGTGAGGTACCAGTCCCCGTC